ATATTCTGAATTTAAAACATTATTTATTGGACATAAAACATAGGAAGATCTTTTATATTCATCTCCTTATTTTCACTTATCATATTTAATAATTTCTTAGGATTATTTCCTAAAGTTTTTACAAGATAGTCTCTTAATATTTACATTATCCTTAGCATTAACATTTTGATAAGCATTTATTTGATATGGATGAATTAATAATGCACAACATATTCTTCTATTCTCTTCTTTTGTAATCAATAGTTTGGGTTTGGAGACCCAAATTTAAAAAAAAACAACCTTGGTCTCCTGAACCAAAAATAAGAATACTTGTTAGACATTGAGGGAAATATTATTAATATATCATTTATCCCCAAAATTATATTATTTTATTAAATCTATATCATCATAGCTTCATCTTGTTAACCAATTTTTTTGCTAATGATTAACATTACCTTTCTTATAGTTATTCATCCTTTACCCATTAACTTATTAATTATTATACAAATGTTGATAATGTAACTGCAGAATTCATGTCATGTTCATTCTTATTTCCTATATTTTGTTCATAATTTTTTAGTGAAAAATATTTCATTTGCCTATCAAAACCTTACTAATTAATTCATTACTATTGATTACATTTCTATAATTAATTATTGTAATTAATCACCTATTTCCATCTCATATTTATAAACTTCATTCTCTAACAGATAAAAAAATTAATCTCCATATAAATAAAAGGCAATATGCATATGTGTGTTGTTCATAGATGCAAAAACTACTCAATAAATTTTGCTGAAATTTATGCGTTATAAAATCTATTTCGCTGAAATTTATGCCCTTTCTTAATGTTAGTAAATGAAGGGAGTGTTTGAAATGGTTTGAATCAAATCGGACATTTGGGAGCATTGTTGTTGATGATGATTTTATTTGTTTATGATAACTCAAGCGCCTCTAACTACCCAACTTGCCACACGGTCAAGGATTTAGTGTGTCTTCTGTTATAATATGTGCGCTGAGTAGAATAAAGCGTGATTAGAAGACATGACCAGTAGTGTGTAATGTGTAATACACTGCATTAGCAGAGCATTGCTGCTATTCCACTAGTATTACATTAGTAAGTAATTCTGCAGGATGATGGTTTTGAAATCATTCTAGAAATCTATTTAGTTTTTTGAAATGAATAATTTAAGATAAGAGATTATGCTTTTTCATATTCTGTTCTATTAATATAGTAATTCCAATTGAAGAAATGGTTGAACCTAATGATAAGATAATTCAAGAAAATTCCTAATAAAACATTAGGAAAGTGGTCAAGATGGATAGCAAGCGTAAAGAAATAAAGGGAACCAAAAATAGTTATTCAAAAGATTTTAAATACAATTTTTAAAAGTGTTTTTAACGGGTCATGTGCATAAGTAATTATGTACCCTAATTATTCATAAGGCATGCAATCCTGAGAAAACAAAGCATATCTTAGGAATAAAAATGTTTCAGTTTAGTGGACCACCCTGTTGATTAAATTATGAAGTAAGCTTTCACGCATATGTAATACAATTCAAATTTTATTTATTTAAAACTAAAAAAAAGTCATTATTTGATTTTTATGGGATGAGATAAGTTCCAAAATGTCCTGCGGTCTAGGGCAAACTTTAAATAAAATGCGGATATGGTCCCTTGCTATACCTGACTATTTGATATTAATTCAAATTATTTTACTTCAAAATGTTTCGGTTGTCATCAAACAATTTACTTCTCAAATAATTAACTACGTTTTTTCCCTTAGGACTTAGCTTCAAGCTGTACCCCTTGCCCTGCCGGGCGTTACATCCACTCTCTACTTATCCTTATCTGTGGTCTTGGGAGGGGGTGTCCCCCACTTCAGCATTTCCCCTCTCGCAGTCCCCCAGGCTGAGAACCTTCTTGTCGATGAACCATTGAGTTCCATAGCGGAATAGTGGTTAATGACAGGATAGGGTAAGGAATGATTAATGGAGCGATCTGATGGAATACATATTTGCAGGTGATAAGGGAGTACCCTGAGAAAACCTGCTGCGAACCCATTTTGTCCACAACAGATTCCACTTGGAACCACTGGGGATCGAACCCAGGCACCAGCGGGGTGGGCATGCAGTCTGACCACTATGCCATAGACTGCCCCTGGGAAACTGACCATTTTTGCCATTATTCTTTCAGAAAACAAATTCTCAAATTTATGATATTTAAGCACCTAAAGCAGGTTTTCTTAGAGGAAAGGAGAGGGAAGTTCTTCCCTAAAGAACCTGTAGAAGTGATCAAAAACTCATTCAATTCTTCTCGACAAGACCAATCAATAGGCATTGTTTTTAGCCAGATTACTCAATAATATTCTGAATGAAATTTAGAAAAAACATTGAGGATAGCAAGTACCTACTCTGGTGAAACTCTGTGAAATACCAAACTGCCTTACTTACATAAATTAAATTGTTGCTACTTAATTCATCAGATTGACTGTTATTAAACCTTATGTTGAAGACAGAAAACAGAAGTTCTCCTTCACTAACCTTTTTATGTACACAATTGTTATTCACATTTTAGAATATTACACTCATATTTCAAGGACTTTTTATCATCTGCTTTCTCTAACATAAAACTAAAGAAAAATAGAGTAGTAGAGCGAAAACACATGTATTTATACATGTCATCAGAAACATTTTGGAAAAAGTATTTCAAATGGCATTTCTTTCCCCTGTAAGTTTCAATGCTTGAGGATGGACAAACTAGGCATCTGTTTTGTGTTTAAATTGATTTTTGTAAGAGAAAATTAAATCTCTTTAATGTGAAAATTTAAGGAAGAATAACTCCATGTTGATAGTGGGTATTTTCATTTACTCAATTATTTGAAGTTTTGAAATTAATAGTCTGAAATCTGGAATGTATTTGTAAGTATGGTTTTAATTAAAGATGATATAAATTTATTCCACTTTCATATTATTCTTAGAAATTACAAAACGTTTACTTCTCTGAGATTATCAAATAAAAATTACTGTTTAACCAGCTATATTCTTATTGATAAATCATATTTGTGATTTTCTTTAAACAAATGACAATTTATGTTGAAGAAAGTTTAGTGATTTCTTGCTTTGACATTACTATAAATTGTTTTACAACTTTAGGGTCATTTGGCTGGTGTAAATTTCATTAGATTCAGAAATGTTTTGGAGTTAGTTTCGAAATAATTTTAATCATCAATATATAGGCTATATTAGGGATGATATAATAAGAATTTCTTAAAGGATCAGATTCAAACCAGAGAAAATTAGAACAAATTAATTTATTTGTATTTATTTTGCCTGGCTGCTAATAATGGGGACATTTATCAACAACTTAAGGTAATTGTCATTAAATTCAATTTTTTTCAAACTTCCCTACACCTTCAATAGGGAGGACAAATTTCATTCTTACTGCGTACTATTCCTCAATTTTAGATCTTTAAATCACTTCACTCTTCATCATACACACTCTATTCAAAATATTAGTAGCTTTTTTTTGTGTGTGTGTAATTTTGAATTAACTTGAGACATTTTTACAAATACATACACCAGATTGTTTCAGGAATTGATAAGAATTTTTCCTTTGAACTTTTTATAAGAACAGGGGTCAATACATAAAATTCTATGTCACTAAAATGATTTTCATTAAAAGTTTTGTATTTTCAAAACAAACATTTGTAAAATATTTCAACAATTTGTATTTGTTAGAGATGTAGTTTATTATTTATTGTCATATATTTAGAGAGCCAAATTTCTAGTGAAGTACCTTAAGAAATCTCTCTAAACCCCAAAAGGTTTTGATATGTTAGTATTTGTAAATATTTCTTTCTTTATAGAAAATGAACCTTTTGGCCATAAGTTCTTGTAGGCAACCAGTCTTTTGTGTGGATTGTTAAATCTGAGATAAAATTTGAATTCCTAAGGCACTTTTTTCTTTAAATTCTATTTATTTGTTAAATTTTTGTAGATCAAAGTGTATTTTTAAATATGTGATTAGTCCAATTTTCACTAAAACCTCTAATTGGGTGGGGTGGGGTGGGGGGGTGAACATTTTAAGTTATAACATCCCTGTTTCTTTTGGTGAAGAGAGTTTTCAGAGATGGTTGACATGTTGGTAGATGGTAGGTTAGATGTTGCAATATATAATACTTCATAACCATTACAACTAATACAAGAAAGAACGTGCAGTAGAAGCCAAATTCAAATCACAAAAGTCCTACCTGCTTAGAGAGTTCACTCATTGTGACTGAACATGCATGTAAACTCACAAAGTTCCGCATGTACATTTGCACTAACAATTGGTTCATAATTAAATAACTTCTTGTCAAATTTAGTAGCATCATTAATAAAAAAATGTACTATTGTTCTCAGAAATTTATGTACATTTTCGATTAACTATGTTTATCTTTCCTCATACAAATTCAGTACTCACTGTAGAATTGTGTTTTAGCCCATGGATGTTTAAAATTTTGATTTACAAGTGTCAATTGAAACAATTAAACTTAACAAACTTCTTCATCTAAAAATCGTAATGAAAAATGTAAATTATTTTGTTAGTTTAATTGTTGGGTTATTTCACATTGGTCTGCATCCAGACTAAATATAGTCTGTGGTAGAAGAGTTAAGAGTTAAAAATAGAACATTGTTTCTTACATCAATCTGAGGTATTCTCTTGTATGTTTGAATGAAATAACTTCTAAGAGAAATGTGAATTTAAAAGGAAGTAGTGAGCATTGGGAGGGTTCAAACTTTGTTCCTACATTAATATAATAATTTGAAGGATACAAGAGTATTTATGCTGTCAAAATGAGTACAATTTTTCATGAACATTTTTCCCTTATTTGAAGTATGAAAAATGCTAATTTAATTCATCATACTTACTTTTTATAATTGGTCTATTTTTTCTGTGCTTAGATAATGTATGTAGGTATTTATTATTCTGTATTGGAATAGTATGAATAAAATATTTGTCTTGGTGTATGTTTACAGATTGCCAACCTCACAAACCTCACAAACATCCTTGTGTTCTGTTACTGGTCCACTGCAATCATCAAAACATCGTGTGTATAGACAATTGGTAATTTTTTCTTTATTCGTTTAAATTAAATTAGTGAAGGTAGCAATGTTGAAAACAATGTGTTTAAGAAATAATTTTGTTGTTTTATTTTTTAACATCTCTTATAATACATTTTTTTGGAAATAAAATTAAACAATATTAATAAGGTATTTTCTTGAGATACAAATCTTGAGGAACAACTTGAATTACAAAAATTATACTTCAAAAAACTACAAATTTAAGCACAAGATAAGAAATGTTGCTTAATTGCTTTTATTTGTATGTACATATTTTTACGTTTTGGGTATTTTTTAAAAATGTTTGTGACAAACAAGGTGTGTTATGTTTTGCTAGACTCGCATAGATTAGTTATTTATTCAAACACCTGAAAAATAGAATGCCATACTTCTCAAAACTGATGTTCACATGACCTCTGGAGGCATTCTCACCATGTCTTCACAGTGCCTTCTCACAGCCTGTCATTCCTGCCAATCTTCACTGTCCATCCATGGGTTTTTACACTATTGAAAAAGCTAGCATTGAACAAATAATTTGTTTGTTAACAATTTATTATAAGCATTTTTATATGAATGTTGGGAAAGGGTACATATATTTCAGGAGCCAAATAATTGTTTCTTGAACTCTCTCGAGTTTGGCTGATTTCTTGACTCTTCAATAGTGGTTAGTAAACCTTCTCTCTAGATAACGCAAACAAATATATCACACACTTAATGTTCAAATAACAAATCAGTTCTTAATCAGTCAACGCGTCCTAGCAAATTATCATGTTCTGTAAAATTTTAATTTTTCATTCCTTGTTGCATATATGCTTTGCTCAGAATATCTTATTTAGTTTCTAATATCCTCTTTACATTTTTTTTAGGGAAATTCAAAATCAACTTTGTCTTTGTACTACTTATTATTTATGGCACGTAGAATTAGAAAGGGACATCTGTAAAAATCTATGCCAGATTTTCTTTGAGACTACAGATATTCAACTTTTTCTGGTTGTTGCAGATATTGCTTCAAGAAGATAAATTCCAAAATGGCAAACACTAAAAGTCTTGATAACTTGGAATCAAATGATGATCCACAGTCACAACTTAACAATGCTGTAGAAGAGTTAATTTTTTTTTTAAAGCACTGTCCCATGGATGGATCATTTAAAAATGATGCTGTTACAGTGAGTATTTTGTTGGGTGTCAAATTGTGTAAAGGTTCAGAGGTCCTGCACATTTTAAAAATGTCCTTGCTTGTCATACAACAGTCTTGACATGACAAAAGTTCTTTAAAAATGCCAGATTTTTAATCCAACTGAAAGAGCTTGATTGAATATTTGGTATGTGTGGACATGATCAAATCTACTCTTTTGGAACAAAAGGAGCATGCCCTTGTGTGACAGGTTGAAAGAAAACTTGTTTACATTAATGAAATGATGCATGTAAAACTTGAACTAAATCACCACAAACAGAAGAGATACGAGAAAACCTTGTCAAAGGTGGATTACACCAAAAATACTAGAGATGTAGTCTCACGGTCAACAAAGGACATGCCACTTAAGTATTGTGTTGTGGATGAAAAATATCGGTTGTGAAATGCTTCGATATCATTGGGTTTTATTTCTTAAAGCAGCTGTCCTAGTGCTCAAGCTAACAAATAAAAATACTAAGATTTCAGGTTTTATTGGTGGGGATCATGAAAGTGATAACTTCAAAACTTTAACTTTCAGAATTATGAATATTACAATTAATGTAATAATATCGAATATAACCTCAGCTTTTGAAGAGTTAATAGCAGAAATAAAAGTAAAATATTGATTAAAAAGTAAAAAATAAGAAGATAAATTAGATTAACTTGCTGCATGTTTTTACCATAGAAGTCCTATGGAATAACTGCATGTGAAAAGTCTGTCAAAAGAACTGGAAGAGATGTTTCAAGAGAATTCTGAATTCCTTAAAGGTCATATTTCTTGCTTTATCATTATCAAAAGATATCAGTTATACTGAATTCAAGTGTTTTTGTTAAATTATTTCATTTCTTACTTAACTTAGAGCTTTTGAAAATATTTTGAGCAGCTTATTTTTTGGAGGTGGAGAATTATTAAACAAAGTTAATTAATTTTTGAAATCACATTTAATGTATTATATATCTTTTGGATTGTTTAATTGTAAAGAACCTGTAACAAGTATTGTACTTCAGCTTCTGGGTCAATGACCCCCATCTCGATCAGGTTTTCGTCCAGTCTGATCCTTGAGCAAATGCTGAGATGGCCCCTGGTTTTGCTTCTGGACATAAATGTGACTTCAAATTAACTTCTCTCCATAGCATGTCATAGAGAGTTTTTAACTGTTTTTGACGTAAATAAATAAATAAATAAATAAATAAATATTAGGAAATTTACTAATTAATTGAAAATTGCAACTTTGTTTTGCTTGCCAAGCAATTCTATCTGCTAAAGAATTTTTATTACCTATCTGCTAAAGAACTTTTACTCTGCTATTACAGTAATGATGAATGGTGTGCATTTTGTAAGAAATACTGAGAATATTGGATAAAATTGTTTTAAAATTAACTTAAAAATATTTATACACAAATGATTTGAATTATTAAATATCCTTGTGTATAAGACTGTGACTTTTAATTGTATAAATTGTGAAATAAAATAATTTTATTGTGAAACTTCGAAGATAATTTTTAAAATATGGAAATTACACAATTTATGGTGTGTTTGTAGGATGTTATTAAGTTGGGTCTAGGCAAAGAGCGCCCACAAGTTGATTCTTTCGTCATGCCTGTTGCTGCAACCTGCCTGCCCATGCTCTTTGCATTTTTGGCCGAGGGAAGCCTGCAGACTGTGGAAGATCTTTTGCTGTGTGCAGACGCCGCGGCATCGCTTCTGGGCATGTTTCCACCTGACATGGCGAATACCGTGGTGACGACCTGCCTGCGTGTGGGCAATGAACCCAATACTGAGGTGGACTTCTCAGAGGGTGACACGCAAATTTTCTTAAAGTTGGTGGTGGCAAAGCCTCTGACTTTCAAGTTGTGCATGTGCAGGGGACTGTTGCGAAACCAGTACTGCCTGACGCCCTCCATCTTAGGATACATGGCACCAATAATTTCCACTGCTTGCTACCAATTCTCTCCATTCACCTGCTTGGGATTCAGGTACATTTAAAATACAACATCTGTAAACCATGTTTAGGTATTAAGGTACAATCATCAACATATTTAGAAATTTCAGTAAGTGCCAAAAATAGTACTGCTTGTGCAACAGAAAAAATTCAGCATCTGCCAAAAATGACATGGTCTATCCAAAATCTTCTATTCATCGTTCCTTCCTTCCGTTTGTGAAGAACTTAACAGTTGCTTTTTTTATAATGTTGATGTACAATAATTTGTCATTCAAATATATAAAAACATGTTTAATATTATTTTTACTAAACATTTTAAGTTTTTCTTCTGATAGAGCTTGAAGAAAAATAAATGTTTCAAATTTGAAATTTATTCAAATTTAATGAAACAATCTTCCTCAATATTATTTGGATTTACTCACAATGTATATAAAGGTCTTTTGAACAAGAAATTTTAGAAATATTGTTGTAAGTAAGACATGATATCATTAAAGAAAACAACAACAAAAAGTTCTTAATTACATATTTTATAAAACTGCAGAATATTAATTGCATTGATCAAGTCATTAGGAACACAAATTCCTTAATTTATTATAAGGAATTCTAAATATTTTATTTTCTCAGAATATTTGGGTTGGAAAAAGATGCACAAGTTTGATAGCAGGACTGAAGGTTATTATTATATGTAATTCTCAATTCAACATTCTCTTTCATGACAATATTTTTACTTTATGAATTAATATGTTGGAAATTACATTTAGTTTTTGTTCTTTTCAGAGTGACTTGCTTTACTGTATTTAATTTAAAAACACTTTCTTCTCCTTCAGGACTTTACATATGTGGATATCGTACTGGAAGAAAATGGATTATTATCTTGACAGCACCGTTTCTGAAAACATCTATACTATTGTTGTTGGCAATTGGGAGAATCCGGTTCCAGGTGTTCGCAAAGAGAATGTGAAGGTATTTATAAAATTCATGAAATACTTATATATTCATGTCAGAGAGTAGCTTATTAAATATTTCAAGAAAGTTTATGTAGATTTCTGGCTGTTTAGTGCTGTTAAGAATTTTAATATGCATTATTGAAGAATTCAAGAACTTGATAAAATTGAAGTTTGTTCTGGAGGAAATTGTTGTGTAAAGAGCAATGCTTTGAGGTATTTTTGTTATTTGTATAACTTAATGAACTGGTCTTGAACATGGAAATCAGAATGAATATTGTAGATACCAAACATATTTGCTTGTGATAAAACATATGATCCATAATTTCTGTTCACTCATTTTTATTATTCAATACCTATCTTCATTATTGAAGTATGTATTCCCCTATCATTTGCAGATATTTAGAATAATTTGAAATTATTCTTTGACTTGTTTTTCAGGTACTGTGTGCCTTACTTGAAGTTGCTGGTCCTTCCTCAAGGTTTTCAGTAGAGGAGTTGTTGCAACATGTGATGAAAGACATGTCCTGGAAAATGAAGAGCAAATATTTCTTGTTGGCAG